AAAGCATGAGAATGCTTTTTAAATTTCAAAAATGGTTTAGCAGTATTTTGCTGTTTAGTAGGTGAATAATTTTTAGTAAGACTGATCAAAAAGTGCCTTTTTTAACACACAATTTTATTTACTTTATGAATTGCTTAATTACAAACAGTAATTGCTTATACCATTTACAAATCAGTTTATCATTTCCTGAGCACACCTCATTATCGTCACAGTGCATATTTTTTTGTGGATTTTCCGTACATAACTTGGGTCTCAATAATTGAAGTAAAGTGTTTTAATATCAAACTCATTCTTATTAGTAAAACAAAAATTAAAATTAAATATAACACCATTAATATATTTTTAAATATGCTTAAAAGTAGTCTTTTAAAAGGGCATTGTTTGCATTTGTCAGAATGATTTTAATATAAATTGGTGGTTTTTTTTTGTTTGTTTTTTGCTGTGATGGTAATTACATTTTACTATGACCAAAACCTAAATATCAAATATAAAATATCAAACTGCTCTTGAAAGTTAATCAAACCTATGATCAGGTTTTAATTCCCGAACAAAATAAAATCAATAACATATACAAAACATAGTCATTTGTGCTCATACACAATATATATATATATTCATTTTGAGTTACATACATTTTTGTCAAGATTTCTGATTATAATTAGCAAAAAAACTAGCAACAAAATAATAAAAATAAATATAACAAGAATAGCTTTGTGATTTCTTAATGTTGTTAATGTTTTCCCAACCCCATCTACACATGCTCTCATATAATTAAAAAATGTAGCCCAATATGCCCCTAATTAAAGAATCACACATTCAGTATGTAATGAATTAATATTTTTTCGTTGATTCAATTTCTGATTTTTAGTATAATCCACAAGCAAAAATACAAAAAAAATGTTTTTCCAAAATATTTCCAATTTTGTCATTTTCTAAAAGTAATATCCCCCCAGCCCTCTCTGTACAATTTTCAAGATTAATAAAAGTTTGGAGAAATTATTTTTAAAACCTTGAAGTAAAATATGCCCCTAATTAAACAGACACGGCATTTTAATGAATGTACGTAATTTATATATGTACAATCATTTGTTGAATTCTATGTCATCCCCATTTCTAAAAAAGTTTGAAGGCTGGGCAAAATGTAAATAAAAACAGAATTCAATGATGTGCAAATCATATAAACCTTATTTCATTGAAAATACTACAAAGCTAACATCAAGCGTCAAATGTTGTATCAAAGTATCAAATGTTGAAACTGAAACTTTATTGTTTTTTGAAAAATATATGCCCATTTTAAATTTAAGGCCAATAACACGATACAAAAAAGTTGGGATGGAGGCATGTTTACCACTGTGTTTCATCACCTCTTCTTTTAACAACACTCTGTAAGCTGTTGTAGTTTTGAAAGTGAAATGTTTTTTGGCTTTTGAGAGGATGTGGCATCCATGATTTCCAAAAAGAATTTCAAATGTTTATTCGTCGGACCTTAGGACACTTTTACACTTCACCTCAATCCATCTTAAATGAGCCTGGGCCCAGAGTAGGTGGCAGTGTTTCTGGATCCTGTTTTATATATAGTTTCTTCTTTGCATGGTAGAGTTTTAACTTAAACTCTCAAACACTCAAACTGTGTTCACAGATGGTGATTTTTGGAAGTGTTCCTAAGCCCACGCAGTGATTTCCACTACAAATGTAATGTGACAGAAGCAGCCAGACGCTCACAATGAAAAACAAGAAATGAGCCCAAAGATCACGGCCAGCCAATACTGGTTTTCAGCCTTGTCCCTCGTATACAGAGATTACTCTGGATTCACTGATTGAATGTTTTAGTGATAATGTGTACTAGGGGTGGAAATCTTTAGGCACCTCACGATTCGATTCGATTACGATTCAGAGGCTGCGATGCGATTATAAAACGATTATCGATGCATCTCGATGCATATTTTTTCTCTATACAGGATTTCTATCTTCCTACTGTCTGAGGACTTCGTAGTTTTAAAGCAGAGTATTTGTAATGATCCATAATGTAAATGCATTACGGATCGTTACAAATACTTTGCTTTAATTATCTAAGATATCTTTTATTAATAAATCAAATGGAAGTGATGTGACAAGTGAACTAGAAGGCTCTCATTCAGAGATGCTGCTGCCACTCATGTGCGATAAAATGCGCTGTTACCCTGAAATAAGATCCAGTGGTGATGGGTGTCCACGTAGTACATTACAGCCACCCTTTTGGTCTCGTTGTAGAGAGGGTATTTTCGAGACTGGACGCTGAATCTCGGCTCCAAAGTGTGCAGCATAGCGCGAAAGCCCTGGTTCTCAACGACTGAGAACAGACAGCAGACAGCAGGTCACACAGCCCCGAGGTCTGGCCTCGCCAGTAGCGAACGAAAAAACAGATTAAGATGAACATTTGGAGACTTATTCGCATTTATAAGCAGCGCGGTTGGTTAAATCTGCTGAGAGACTGTCTTTCTCTAAAAAGTTGCGAAAATGAACTCGCTTCTCTTTCGTATTTTCCCGTTCCACCTTAAATGGTGCAGCAGTTACATTCGGCGCCTAAGGCAGAATTTAAGGTGGAACGGGAAAATCAGAACGAGAAACTGGCGAATGAGAAGCGACTTCAGCCTCGTAAAACAGCCGGACACTGAGACATTTTACAAGAAACTCTTCTTGTTATGAAGAAAAGTTTTCTGGCGGAGATGGGAGGAAAGCGGCTAAAGCTAAAACTTAAAGCAGAGCGGAGTAAATCTGCGCTCTCGTTTACATTTTTAGCCCATACTAGGACATTAACACACACTGAGACATACTGGACATTAAATGTCGTGGCTCCCAAGGTGGTCTGACTTCGTTGAAAGGACAAAATGGCTCTTCTTATCATTTGGGTTGTGACTCCTGACCTAACCTGGCTTTAACGCAGAGGGAGCCGGTCGGATTTCTCACTCACCGAGTAGTGTTTTTGTTATGTGCCGCCACAGACTGTCCGGGCGCTGCACTGACCCACTTCCAGTTCAGCCTTTTGCGTTCCGTTAACATTACGTTATAAATTAAATATTTAGAAAATCGATTTTTGACGTTGAATGAATCGATTCAGAATCGTTCACGTCCGCATCGCGATGCATCTAAGAATTGAGTTTTTCCCGCACCCCTAATGTGTACCATGGATGATGAAATGCCCAAATTCGTTGATATTTTACATTGAGAAATGTTATTCTTGGAACGAGATTATGGAAGAGACAGGAATTGTGAGCACAAGAGAGAATGAGAGAGAAAGAGAAAGGAAACAGGATAATGACAAAGATAAGGAAGGAGACAGAGTGCGTTGGTGGCTGGACAATGATTCAACAACCACTTTAAAAAAAACCGCTACTACTGCATCCACCACAACCAGAATTGCCTCAACCTGAGCTGCAGCAGCCAGGACAGCAACCTGAACCCCTGTCCCAGGCTCAACAGTCTCAACTGCAGTCACCCAGTGCCCCAGGAGACTGTAGACTCTAAGCCTGAAATGAACCTCATCCAGCCTAAGCCAGAGCCCACAATGATTTTACTTTTACTTTTAATGCTAATGATGTACATCACAGATGGCTCACAATAGAGGATTACTAATGGTAGTCATATGTTAAATATTTTTATTTTAATTCTGTTGTTTTTATTGCAGCCCCACTGTTATAAGCTAGGAATCCAAGAAACAGACTTGCCAAAATATTGTGGAGCCTAATTGTAAATGCTTGGGGTTGCACTGAGGGGTGCTTGAAAACAGCGGTCACTGGCCTATTCTTCAAAATCACAGCTATAAAGTTTGAAAAGAATGCTATTTTGGAGTTATACGTTTGTTGTCTATTATGCAAAATATGTGGACAATCAATACAGTGAGAAAAGTAATGCATTTTAATTGATATGAAAAAGTACCAAAAGAAAAAAAAATTAAAAATGTCAACCGGGTGTCCACTGCTTGATCACCTTCTAGACCAGTTTGACCATCATTGAGCCTCCTGCTGTACAATGCTGTGCAAACCTCACCTGCATGAACTAACCCTCCTGATAATACTGCTGCTGCACATACCCGAATTTAGCCAGAGCCATTGCTTCACCTTCTGTTCCCCTTTTCTGTATTTAATATTTTATACTAATGTTTAAACCTTCTTCTCTGCTCATTTCGCTCTTATGTTATTGTTTGCCAGAGGAGGATGAGTTCCCCGTCTGAGGAGTAGTTCATCTCAAGGTTTCCTCCTCTTGCTTTAGGGAGATTTTCCTTGCCACTGTCGCCATTGGCGACACTTATGGGGACTTAGATCCGGTTTTTCCTGTAAAGCTTCTTTGTGACAACACCCGTTGTACAAAGCGCTATATAAATAAACTTTGACTTGACTTCTTGAGTTGTTGCACTATTTGGCTGCACAGTCTTTCACAGAGTGGTGAAGTCCTCCCCATCTTCTGAAAGACTCAGCCTTTCTGAGATGTTATTTTTATACTTAGTCATGTATATATTATTTTTAGAATTGCACAACTTTAGCAGTCTCTTGTTACCCTTGTCCCAAAAAAGAATTTCTCAATTTCAGTATTTGATATTTAATTTTTGTACTATTTTCAATTAAACATTTTTGGTTTTAAATGATTTGCATCATTGCATTGTATTTTTATTTACATTTTGCACAGCATCCCAACTTCTTGGAAAATTTGGTTGTTTGGAAAAATAGAAAAAAAAAGATTTTTTAAAAATTAGGGAACTTCTAGCTTTTGTACTTTTGTATTTTGCTAATTCGTAAACTTTTATCAGCCTCCTCTACAAATATGTAAAGAATGTAAATCACTTGTTTGAAAGATGATGGTGACTAAAAGTTTTGCACTAATTTTAATATGATTTCTCAGTAAAAACACATTTGTTTCCTTATGTTGTTTAGGTGCATCTTTACACTACATTAGATAATAATTCGACAACAAACAGGAAGTCTACATTTTCATTGGTTCTACTTCATTGGTGAACTCACCAGCACTCATAAGTCACAAATTCTTAAGGTTGAATCACAGTTGATCTTAAACCCGGCGTAGAGAGGTCTATTGAACTTGGTCTTGACTTTGTGTAGGAGGGTCATTGTGTCAGAAACGCTGTAGAAGGACAGAGTTCCTGCCTCGTGATCCAAATATACTCCTATTCTAGAGCAATTGGGCACTTTGGGGACTTCAGACTTATTATCGTTGTGCCAGAAGTGCCAGTTTTTTTCAGTGAATCTTAATCTCCATGATTGATGATTACGGCCAAACAGACTGTCCAAACCAGCCCTCTGTAGCCCTTTATAAGCCATTGCTATAGAGACCCCAAGCTTCCCACTCCACTCCAACTCCCAGTAACAGCATCCTGCCAGACCCTCTCTGCACAGAACCTGCTCATATTCAACAAATCTCTCTGGATGACTAGGGTGCAAAGTGCCTTCCTTACTGCAGGTCACCTTTTTGTTCCCTTCAGAGAGCCACAGTAGCCGGTTTGTTGTGTTGGTGTCCAGGGTGAGCTGGCAGGAATCTGAAAATGAGAGAAAAATATCGTAAATTATTATTGCCATAATTGTTGGTTTTCCTTCACTGCAAGATTTAGAAATTAACCCATTTTGAGTGCCGCTTTACTAGACGTTTCAATTAACAAACCCAAATAGTTAGAAGTAGTAATATGAATACATGTGTTTGTGTGTGTGCACTTGCTGATATCACTGGTGTCAGTGCTGGAACTCACGTTGGAGAAACTCCTCTCTGGTTCTGGGTTCAGGCTTCTTAAGTATTTCAACAGCCTTAACTTTGAAGACAAGAGTAAACACACACAAAGTTACCAAATACAGACAACATGACGTTATATATTCTTCAAACCACCCACTGCGTTATATATTGGACTTGTACATTGTCTTTGAGATGCTTGAGACGGGTGCTATCTCAATTAAACACGTTTTAATTTATTCATCTTCAATTAATGATCATATGTACTTTTTTACTGATTGACATTGATGGGATGTTCTTACCTTCTTTGTCTATCCTGCCAATGGTCACTGTGCTGAAATCTTCTAGTTGGTCTTTAAGCTCACTGAGAGATTTCTCTACATCTGCAAAGGTGCTGTTATCACTGAGGGTGGGCAAGTCTTTAGCCTCGATAGGGGCAGACAGAGACTGGAAACTCTGCAGAGAAAGGCAAACTCATCATGGAAACGGACACACGTCACATTACAGAAGTACAGTTAATACTGTAGCAGTTTTACAACTAACTCAAGTCCTAACCCACTTGAGAATCTAAGGGACAAGGGACAATCAAACAACCAGAGTTTGAGAATCTGTCATCAAACTCTGTTGGAAATTACTCATGTCAGGCAAATGTATACCCTTTTTATCTTGTCCTATTTTAAATCATATCTACGTGTAACAGGCCAGAACCAGCCAGACGCTCACGGTAAAAATAAGAAATGAGGCTTTCCTTGTACAGGACTTGTAATCAGTGAACAGGCGTGGGTCAGATCAAAAAAGGCAAAAGACAAAAAAGGACAAACATAACAAAGGCAACCAGATCCAAAAGGGCAAAGACAAAAAGGCAAAGTCAGAAAATCCAGCAACAAGGCCAAATACATGACGGCAAACACAGGAAACACGTAGTAGTTCTACAAAAAGGAACAATACCTCACAACTCGTCTCGTCTAAAGCCCGAGCTTACACACTAAATTATTCATATGACACTTGAAACAGGTGCAACATATAAGTCTTCTGGTGATGCAAATGGTGATTGGAGGAAGGAGAAATTAGGCAGTTCAGCAGATACATGATCTCCCATGGAGTCCATGTGTAAGTTGGAGCCGGAGGAATGCGTAACACCACGTATGTCCTTTTTGTGAATAACTCCTAACAGATTTTTATTTTTATTCACCACAATTATAAGAAATTTCCATGCCTACTTCTTTTTGTGACTTAAGTCGAGAAAACTTGTTAGCAATCTAGCTAGTCAGGTCTAAAGGGTCTTTAGGAAGAAAGTTTGTGTAGTTGTTAATCCTGCTATGATGCCCCTCAAATAATAAGAGTAAGAGGAGGTGTTAATGGCAAAGTTGAACCACTGCTGTAGGGGAGCAGATAGTATGTGATGTTACCTGGAGGAAGTGAATGTGATCATGTGTTTGTAAAAGCTCCTCAATCTCATCGGTTCTCCTCTTGAGATCAGCAATCTCCTGCTCCAGTTCCTCCAGGAGAATTTCAGCTTGCCTCACTGAAGCCCTCTCCTGAGCTTTGATCATCTCCACCACTTCAGACTGTTTTCTCAAAAGGAAGGATAAATGCTCACTGAAGATCTTTTCAGTACACTCTATGGCCACCTGTGCCGAGGACTGTAAGAAGAAAGAGAAGAAAGACCCAATTTAGAATTAGATAACTGCTCTTTTAAGGTCATTATATCTTGAAAGAAGTATTATTTAGTACTAAAACACCATTTCTTAGTTTCTGTGCATACACACTTTGAACAGACACTGTGCCGCCAGTCTTTAGGCACAAACTCTGCAGCCACCAGTCCAGACCCACACTAACTAAACCACACCCTGACACAGTAAACACCAGCAACATATACACATCTCCTACAAGTGGCAGCCGCCACAATATATTTAGCTGTTGGTTTATTCACTGTGAGATGTGGGTCACTTTTCTCCAAATGGGCCTCACTAAAATGAGAAACAGCTATTTTTGATCAGGGAAACTAATTTTATAGTACTTCGGTGTACTGCTTATTGAGAGGGAATCAAAGTCACCTGGTAAAGATTACCTTGTGAGATTCTACAGCCCTCTTCAACATTCGAAGGTCAGTTTCCTTATCCATGATCCTCTGTAGGAACTCAGACTTAATATTCCAGAGCTGCTTCTATAGAATAACAACATGACAATGCATGAATATTAGTTTTTTATGTCTTTATATGCTCAGTTTCACTACATATAAACGTTAGTGTAAGACTGAAGGATATTTGAGGATATCTGACAAGTGAAACCAAAACTGTATTTTTATAAAGAACATAATCTTGGTGGGTGGCTCAGACATTGTGCTGCCGAAAGTACAAAAGACAGTTTATAATTTAACATTGTATGTGTTGCTGTATGTGGTGAAAAGCACATTAAAGGTTAAAAGCAACATATTACACAGGCTTGCTTCAAATCAAATACATGGGATACCTGTTTTTCCTCTCTGTAAGCTGCAGCAGTTGCCACCTTATGCCTTTTATGTTTGTCTATTGCACAAACAACGCAAATGCAGAGCTGGTCAGTATGACAGAAAACCTCCAGAGGTTTCTGATGTAGAGAGCAGACCCTCTCCTGGAGTTGTTTGGTGGCTTGGACCAAGCTATGGTTCTTAAAGGCAGGAGATTCGTGGTGAGGTCGGAGGTGAGTCTCACAGTAAGAAGCCAGACAGACCAGGCAGGACTTCACGGCTTTCTGTTTCCTCCCAGTGCAGAAATCACACTCTACGTCTCCAGGTCCAGAGGCCGGTGCGTTCAACATCGTCTTTATTTTCTCCACCATTTCAGCAATAAGTGTGTTCTTGTTGAGAGCAGGTCTTGGAGTGAAGGTCTGTCTGCATTGTGGGCAGCTGTATCCCCCTCTCTGAACATGATCCCAGTAGTTCTTGATGCACATCATACAGTAGCTGTGTCCACAGGGAATAGTCACTGGCTCCTTCAGCAGGTCCAGACAAATTGGACAGTTGAAAGAGTTCTGATCATTTGAACTAGCCTCTGCCATTTCCGAGCTTCCACTCATACCACTGCAGAGGGAGATCTGACAAAATCATATTTGTTTTGGGAAATTCATGCAAGGATGTGGCTTCTTGGTCCAACCGGTTGGGTGAGGTTTTGCTATGTTGTCCAAGGACAATAACACATTTCCTTCTAATGCACTTCTTTTAGAATACAACAATGACTGGAAAAAAGCTGCAATAACTGGACAGAAGAAAAGCATTTATTTTCTATTTTGCTTAATTAGAATTTTACATAAGAGAGTTACCAGTTCATTATGTACTCACTCTCTCACAAGTGGGTAGTGGGCATCGTGCACGTTATACACCATGTGACTGTCTGAGATATGAATCAGCTACTAGCAGATTGTTTACTCCACCTTGGAGTAAAATGAGTTAGCAGAAACATCTGTCATCCTGGACTTCATGAACAACTATTTTTTTTATGGTTTACTGAGAATGGACCTCATTCACCGACTGTTGAAGAAGTTTCGTCTTAAAACCCACTTAGACTTATTCTTAGAACCTTTCTCAAAAACACATTTAAGAAGAAACTGAGCAGTAACTAGAAAGTGAAAGTTGATAATAAAATAAATAAAAAGATTGTAAAACAAAAACTAGCAGCAACTGGCATGGAGGTGGTTAGAGACTGAAAGCTTAAAATGTTCATGTGACACCAGTGAGCAAAGCTTTAAGAGATTCCTTTAATAAATTCCAGCTCTTTTAGAAGTAGTTGCAGATGCATATCTGTATATCACATCACCATAATAGAGAATAGCATTGCTTCAACAATCTTTTTCATTGTATGCATTGGAAAACATATTTTGTTTATAGGTCAGCTTATTTATATTATATTTATGTATATATACCTAATATATACACATGTCAGATCCCTTCAAACTTGTGATTTTAAACGTGTTAAAATGTCCAAGTTTCTGGAAAACAGCGCAAATTTAGTTATCTCAACATCTAAGACTAGTTTATGACCATAAAAGTCGGATTGTAAGGCATTAAAATAACATTGTAACACAGTATAGTCAGCTAAGCAGTACAGAATGGAGACATCAGCATATTAATGTAGTTTGCAATCAACAATGGAGGTGGCAATGCCATTAACTTGAATTTTGAATAATACTGGTCCACATGTGGAACCTTGAGGGATCCCCTTAGTTACCATCAGTAGCTCTGATTTACTTTATTCCAGGAGCACACATTGCTGTCTATCAGAGAGATCATTTGTAATCCTAGTTGGTAGCTCTGTGGTCAAAACCAATATTTTGTAGGGTTTTTTTAAGTACAGAATGATCAACTGTTTCAGAGGCTTTAGAGAGATTAATGAAAATGACTGCACAGTGCTTATTCCTATCAGTGGAAGTGAAAAGATCATTTAAGATAAGTGTAGAAGCAGAGACTGTGCTATGCTTTTCTCTACAATCAGATTGGTAAACAAACAAAGCTACATTTTCATAAAGAAATGTGTAAAGTATATCATTCACTATGGATTCTAAACGTTTAGCTAAGCATGACAGTTTTGAGAGGGGTCTAAAGTTATTCCACTCACTGGCTACTTACCTACCTTGTGCTTTGATGGAGGAGCCAGAGACATTTCTATAGTTAGTGATCAAATTGTAGACTAACGGGAGGGACAATAAAGGATTGGTGATGTATAGTAAGATGTCATCAGCACAAAAATACACTTTATGGTGGTATTATTATGACTGTATACATGAGACTTCATAGCACTGTGTAACGGAAGAGGCCAGGGGCCTTTTCGATGAAAAGGCGAACAGTACCGGGGAGAATGGGCATCCTTGTCAAGTCCCTCTTGTAATTGTAGATATATGGCTACTGGTTAAAACAGAGGCAGTGGGCAAACTGTCTAAAATACAAAGTATTTGAGGGAGGTGAGGACAAAGCACCACTCTGTCCTGTGTCACTTTCAGTTTATGTGCCTGTATTTATTGCATGTTAGCTGTCTGTTTGGGTTTGCAGGTCAAAAACATAGCCAACTTTTTCATATCAAAATGGCCCCAACATCATCAACACAATGGCCATAAACTGACAGAGACAAAATCAAAGAAGACCCTGTCAAATATTTGCAGTATCTCAACATAGAAAAAACAAACTGGAATCTCCCCGAGGCCCATTTGAAACTTGAAAATGCTTTCTGAATTTGTAGAAGGCTGTCCTAGATGCTTAAAATTGTGGTAGTAGTTTACTATTTAATGGGTAATTTGTTTTTGAGTAAGAGGAAAGTGTTTAAAAATGTCTTTCAAGATATAATTTTATTTATTCATTCAAATATTTAAAATTAAGATGAAGAATAATTGTAAATGTTTACAAATCAGTTTATCATTACCTGACCACACTGTCATCATCATCACAGTGCATATTTTTGTCATTTTTTACATAACTGCTCTCAATAATTGAGCTAAAGAGCTTTAATGTCAAAAATGTTGTAGTTAGTAAACTATTGACATGGTAAAGAAAACATGATAACATTTAAATGCATTTAAGTTATTTAAATTAGCTTTTTAAAGGGCAGTGTTTGCATTTTCAAGAATTTTTCAATGTTTCAAAAATCCCTTAAAATATCAAATTACATTCCAGAACATTACAAAAGTTTTAGCAGACTGAGTTTGATGAATTTTCATTTTTCAAAATTTGATCAGTCAGATGTGTCTTTACACAATACAGAATTATTTTTATTACAATCAGTAAAGAAATAACAGCAATAAGAATAGTTAGATGGTGTAAGTCTCTTTTGGTTGAAATTTGGTAATGTTTTAATGTTTTTGTGTCCTTCTACAAATGTTTTAGCACAAATAACGCAGTTTAAGAAATTATTTGTCAGAGTTTGAAGCAGCCAAATGTTTTGTAATTTTGTAAAATAGTTTCTTTTTCCAGCCTCATCCACAATGTCCAATAATTTGACAACAAACAGGACGTCTACATTTTCATTGGTTCTACTTCATTGGTGAACTCACAATCATTCATAAGTCACAAATTCTTAAGGTTGAATCACAGTTGATCTTAAACCCGGCGTAGAGAGGTCTATTGAACTTGGTCTGGACTTTGTGTAGGAGGGTCATTGTATCAGAAACGCTGTAGAAGGACAGAGTTCCTGCCTCGTGATCCAAATATACTCCTATTCTAGAGCAATTAGGCACTTTGGGGACTTCAGACTTATTATCGTTGTGCCAGAAGTGCCAGTTTTTTTCAGTGAATCTTAATCTCCACGACTGATTATCACGACCAAACAGACTGTCTGAACCAGCCCTGTTCATCTCTTTATATGCCACTGCTATAGAGACCCCAAGCTTCCCACTCCACTCCACCTCCCAGTAACAACGTCCTGCCAGACCCTCTCTGCACAGAACCTGCTCATGCTCGACAAATCTCTCTGGATGACTAGGGTACGAAGTGCCTTCTTTATTGCAGGTCACCCTTCTGTTCTCTTTAGAGAGCCACAGTAGCCGGTTTGTTGTGTTGGTGTCCAGGGTGAGCAGGCAGGAATCTGATAATGAAGGGAAGATATGGAGTTAGATTTAAGCCAAACAGTACCATATTTGTTAATTGTGATTTGAAGGTTTTCAATACAGATTTATCAAAGTGCAACTGAAAAAAATTAGTTGCGTGAGTCATTTTGGGGTCTTAGATCATTCAGTTCCATTTTCAGATGTGCAAACTTGCATTTTGCCTACAATTTGTACTTTTCATTCATTCATATCCACTTGTACAAGTCTGTGATTCAGTTTGCCACGAGCAAACCTTTGGCCCCTGTACCTTACTTTATGTCTGAATTGTAGTACAGTTTGAGAACATGAAAGTAAAAAGGAAGATCTGAACTTTACCCACAATCTTTGTGTTATGTTCATTTAGATTAACTTGGGCATGTTTGCATCTTATTTCCTTACATGCAAAGTTTTCATAGTGTTGTTTCACCCATAGACATGCACATGAAAACGTTGCACTGACCGCTAGATCAGGCATCAATATCACCACCATATTGGTCTGGGCAACTTGTCAAAACTCTAAGAACACTGTACTGAAAACAAGATGTCTGAGTTACGTGCAGCTCAGCGTTGTACAAACCGTCACCCCTCAGTTCATTTTAAATGAGCTCGGGCCCAGAGAGAGTGGCAGCATTTCTCAATGATGTTTATAATATGGTTTCTTCTTTGCATTTTAGAGTTTTAACTTGGATTTGTGGATGCAGTGATAAACTGTTTTCACAGACAGTGGTTTTCAGAAGTGTTTCTGTGCCCATGCAGTGATTTCCACTACAGAATCATGTCTGTTTTTAATGCAGTGCTGTCTGAGGGCCCAAAGATCACGGCCAGCAAATACTGGTTTTTGGCCTTGTCCCTTACATACAGAGATTTCTCCAGATTCTCTGAATCTTTTAATGATATTCTGTACCGTAGATGATGAAAAGCAAAAGTTCTTTGCTATTTTACACTGAAAAATGTTATTTTTGAATTGTTGCACTATTTGATCGTGCAGTCTTTCACAGACAGTAGTGAACGCCTCCTAATCTTTACTTCTGAAAGACTCCGCCTCTCTGGGATGATCTTTTTATACCCAGTCATGTTACTGACCTGTTGACAACCAACCACCAGGTGTTTCTTTTAACATTACACAACTTTACCAGCCCTTTGTTGCCTCCGTCCCAACTTTTTTGGAATGTGTTGTTGGCATCAAATTCAAATGGGCACGTTTTTCAATAAACCATAAAATTTCTCAGTTTCAACATTTGATATGTTGTCTTATTTTCAATTAAATGATTTACACATCATTGAATTTTGTTTTTATTTACATTTTGCACAGCATCTCAACTTTTTTTGCAAATGGAGTTTTTGGTTTTTATTTAGTATTTCATAGTGAAATAATTGTGTTCTAACTGGGAGAACAAGAAAAGCTAAAATGATGGGGATGTAAAAAAGAAAAATGAAGCTTCATGTCTGCCAGGTTCTTATGCAAATTTTCCATTCCATATGAAATAATTTGCTTAATTTAAGATGAAACCAAAAATAAGAAACCAACTTTAGTATCATTCTACAAGTATTAGCCAAAAAAAGTAAGCCAAATCCATTCTTGAACAATGAGTTTTTCAAATCATTATGACAATGAATTCATTTCCACCATTTAACTAATTCATTTCATGAGAGCCTAACGCTGATACACACTCCTCTCTTCAGCGTCTGGCAGCGATTAGAATAAGACTCAAAATAACTGCAGGCAAAACTTTTTTTGTGCTCTGAATATAAAAACAACTTGTTGAAATCATTTGAAAAACGTGAATGATATGGTGCTTTTTATCCAGAAAAAAACTCAGCTCCTCTGTTTACTTGTATTTGTTTAAAGGCCAACCTTGTCCAAACCAATATGGCGGCCACATCACAGCAACAGGCTGAAGCAGCCAATGTGGTGTCTATGGATATATGTCTATGGAAATTTTGGTCACTTCTGGGCCATGATTGCTTGACAGTCTTCACAATAAAAGACTTGTCCTTGTTCCATCAAAGAATGTATTGAACTGAATGCATAGAACTGCCCCTTGAACATGCCTTCTGGGTTGGTCCGATGCTAGAGAGTGCTTCCGAGTGAGTCCAAAATAAATGGGAAATGAACTGTAATTTGTAAATGATTATCATTTCAAGTCTTTTTGCCCCATTCACCTCCTTTCAATAAGGACTCGTTTGGGTGCCCTATTTTAGCAATTTTGTAATTTAATAGGAGCAATAAGAGGTAGCTGGGCTTCTGGCTGAGGTTCTATCTGGTTACCAGCTCACACTGAATCTGGCCCTCTCATCAGGAGATCACGAATTCGATCCCTGGTGATGCTACAGCTGTCCGTGGCCAGGAGTCCAAGAGAGCACAATTGGCCTCGCTGTCTCCAGGTGAGTAGGATGGCCCCCCGTCTCCCCCATCACTCAGCATAATGCTAGTCAAGCAGGTGTCTGTTAGCTGATGTAACAGAACTGGCGGTTGGCGCTTTCCTCTGAGCGCGTTCGGCTGACCAATGACGTTGCGTGAGCGGCAGTTTGAAAAGATGCAGTGGCACTTCACTGGTCTCGGAGAAAGCCTGTGCTAGCCTCGCCCTCCTAGCGCGAAAACAGTGAAGACAGCGTCTTTTATTGTGAAGAGTTTCACGAGAGTCATGACCTGGAAGTGACCATAGTGGAAACTTCACACATGATTCTGAAGGAGGTGCAACAACACTGGGAAAAGTTTGCATGTAAGTCTGAATAATTGTATCACAAAAATCGTGGGTTAATTTCATATCTGCTTTTTTTTTACTTTCATGTGCACAAACTGGAATACAGCTACAATTGAGGCTTTACAGGTACAGATTTCCAGGCACACTTTACATTTGTGATTTTGGTAGCCGTCCAAAAATAGTGCCAAAAGTTTGAACTTATCAAACTGAAACACAAACTTTTACATTGATCTGAATGAATGAAAAGTACAAAAAATTACGCAGAATTTGCACATCTGAAAATGGAACTGAATGACCCCAGAATTACTCACATAACTAATTTTTTACAGTTGCACTGTAATAAATAACATTTAAAAGCTGATGTATGCCTTCAAATCACAATTCACAAATATGACACATTTTGGTTAAAGTTCATTGAAAAACATTATAATCCATTGCAAGATCTATAAATTTTGTCTTATTATTTGTCTTATTGTTATCTTATTGTTGATACTGGCCCTGTTTCATACTAGTGACATCCAGTGTGCAAAATACCCCCTTGTATTTGGGGGGTCCCATGTTTGCTTTCTTCTCCAGCGTTGACTAACTGAGATCTTCCTCGTCTCCTCTTCTGTAGAGTCTCTGTTCTAGTGCGGTTCTGCGCTCTTCCTCACAGTAACTGAGATCTTCCTCGTCTCCTCTTCTGTAGAGTCTCTGTTCTAGTGCGGTTCTGCGCTCTTCCTCACATTAACTGAGATCTTCCTCGTCTCCTCTTCTGTAGAGTCTCTGTTCTAGTGCGGTTCTGCGCTCTTCCTCACAGTAACTGAGATCTTCCTCATCTCCTCTTCTGTAGAGTCTCTGTTCTAGTGCGGTTCTGCGCTCTTCCTCACATTAACTGAGATCTTCCTCGTCTCCTCTTCTGTAGAGTCTCTGTTCTAGTGCGGTTCTGCGCTCTTCCTCACAGTAACTGAGATCTTCCTCGTCTCCTCTTCTGTAGAGTCTCTGTTCTAGTGCGGTTCTGCGCTCTTCCTCACAGTAACTGAGATCTTCCTCGTCTCCTCTTCTGTCTTCAGTGTGTGAAATGAGGAACAGTCACTCTTCACTCCAAACTCTTGGGAAACTGGGCGAGTTTTCAGATTTACAGATCTGCTGCAGCTCATTGTAAAGTTTTTCAGAGGAATCTGGGCAAAGTTACAGTTTCTAGGCTAGAACCAACTGGGTGAGACAGTCTGCTACAGCGCCACCCTGAGGCAGAGCAGTGCTGCAGCTCTAGTTAGATAAGAACACCAAAGACAGAAGCTGATTGTGGGTGAAGCAGATAAACAAAGAGCTTCACTGAGTTTGTGTTTGAGTGTCTATTTTTCCTGAATGGACAACATGAAGTCATAATAAGCTTATTTTCAGGGACCCCCAGAATTTGGATTTTGACACATTCAGAGGGTCCAAGAGGTTAATTAGGGGGTCATCGACCCCACCCCAGGACCACCGGTATTTTGCACCTTGGTGCCGTCTCATATTGTAGTACAGGTGTGTATCTGTGAGTGTGCATGCATAGGTGTCAGTGCTGGAACTCACACTGTAGAAACTCCTTTCTGGTTGTGGGTTCAGGCTGCTTAACGATTTCAACAGCCTTAACTTTGGAGACAGAATAGACCATTTTGTCACCAAACAAAGACACCATGGCATCAAATACTTTTCAAAGCATTAAGTTATGAATGTGATCAATCAAATTATTAAGTAATTATGAAATGAGCAGTACTGTGCAAACTTAAGAAATCGCCCTTCTTTTATTAAATTCCCAGTCAAAACAGGCATTCAGTACAAGTTACTCATTTTAGAGGATTGAGGAAAAAATGATTAGATACTTCTCCAAAGTTCAGTCTTAGAAATTGGTTGATAATTTTCTGCTTCTTATTATCCAAGTAATCCCAATGACTAATTTAGATGTGTAGAAACCTCACCCCACATCTCAGATGTTCAGTTGTAGCATAACTGCCAGGCTCACAGCAGGTAAAAGAGGCCCAAATCTGATTTCTCAACAAATCTGATTTGTTTGTTTAGATGTTCACATTATCTTTTTTAATGCGACTTGTATGCTACAATAGTCTGAACAGATCGGCTCCTAAACTGACCTGCATGCGCAAAAGAGCAGTGCTTCCTGTGGCTCATCCAGAGGTAAACAATCACGACTGCCAACGAACGCCAGTCGCTCCCGGAGGATCAGCTTCATCTTCACCAGCATCACAGGAGCCATCCTGAAGCTTCACTGACTGACAGCTGAGCTCATCACCCAGAATGTGTCCGAGCCGTAAAAAGGGCGCGGTCACTTCTTTGGTTCGCGTCCTCGGATTCTTTAAACTCTGCTTTCAGACTTTTAACTGTTCTTTGACGCTGCAGCCTCGTTCTCCTGCGGCCACGTTCGGACACTTCTTTAGAAATCTCTGCAAACACGGAGGGTTTTGGTTGAGTCTCTAATAGTTTTTAAGTACAGAAATATCAGCCTAAATGTTTATGAGTCTCAGCAGCGCAAAATTATGGCGAATGTGAAGTTGGATTGAGGTAAAATCTGCAGGAATTCCGATCTGGCTGTTCAAACTGAGTCGCAGATCGGATACGTATCAGATTTTTTTACCACATATGAAAGCATCTGAAATCGGAATTGAAAATGTCAGATTCTGTGTGTTTATCTGTTCACATCTCTGTCACATATGAAGAAAAAAATCAGATTTGAGCCACGTTTATCTGCTATAGCCATAGTGTCGAGTCGTCTTCTCACAGTGGAAGGATGGACAGAAACACCTGTGGATTTATTCAGATATTTTGACATTTTGGAAACTTTTTTCCCTACTTTTTGACTTTCTTCTTCCTTATGCACGTAGATTATTTTATATCTAATCTCCTCAGAAACATCTCCTTTAGCCCTTTTACATGCTAATGAGAGAGAAAGTGTGTGAGGGGAGTTTGGGTAGCTGTTTGTGTGACTGTTAGTTTCTGTTTGAAGGGGAAATAATGACAGTGACTCCTTTGGGAGCAGCTTTTGTTGGGAGGACACGACTGTGACTGGCTGGTTTTCAGATTGGAAGGATGGAGGAGGTAAAGTGGCAGCAGAGTGGAGAAAAATACTGATAGACATCATATTGTGGTGGCTGCCACTGCTCCATGTTGCATAAGGGACTTTAGAGGTGTGGTATGCAAAGCTACACCGTATGCAACTACCTGGAATACCATAGCAACCGCCCAGCAACACCTTAGCAACCGCCTGGAATACCATAACTACCACCTAGCAGTCACCTAGCATCTACCTGGGACACCATAGCAACCACCTAGCAACATTGTAGTAATCACCTTGGATACCATGGCAACCGCCTTTTAACACCTTAGCATCTACCTGGGACACCGGAGCAACCAGCAACCTTAGCAACCACCTGGGACACCATAGTACCTGCCTAGAAACCACCTGGGATACAATACCAAACCCCTAGCAACCCCATAGCAATCACCTGTGCTACCCTAGCAACCACCTAGCAACACCTTAGCAACCACTTTGGAGACCATAGCAACCACCTTGCAACCTAGCGGGAAGTGGAAGCCATTTAAGTTGTGCAACCATTCCGCGTTTCCTTCATTAAATGTACGTTTCTAGTTATTGTTCATCTTCAGTTTGAAGTGTGTTATGCGTCATTTGTGCTTTGTTGTGTCTGGTTTCGTGGCTATAGGTGGTCTTTTTCACGTTCAGGCTGGTTGATTGAGGCTTTTCTGCCTGGTTCTAAATAAAAGAGCAATGTGTCGAGCAGAAATGATAGACTCTTCTGCATGACGCCACAGTATTACTCAACGTTGGGAGCTTTTGTGTGATTTTTTGTTAAATTTGTTTCCTTGTTTTTGTATCCGACACTGAAAAATGAATAACTTCTACTGACCTGAAGTGAAATAAATAAAAAAGGGGGTCTTCGGAGAATGTTCTCCCTCACCTTCTCCGGCTACCCTGCCAACGATCAGCTCAGTGAAATCTTCTAGTTGCTTTTTTAGCTCATTGAGAGTCTTCCCCACATCCTCAAAGGTGTTGCGTGGACTGAAGGCGATGGGCGAGTATTCAGCGGGAGGGGCAGAGAGAGGCTGGAAGCTCTGTAGGGAGCAACACGTTCATCACAAGAAGTAAAACAGATCAGATTACAGAAGAACAGTTTTCACAGCAGTTTCACAAAACTTTAAAAGCCTGTAGATCTCAGGGAGCTTCCAGGAAGGACTGAAAACACCCCACCCAGAAAGGTATAGAGGTCAGTGTTCTCTGTGTCTTACAGGGCCCCTATTCACAAAATGATTTGTGGTGAGGAATACATGACTAATGTATGCACTGGCAAATGAGATGGAGCAAAACACTGGGCACTGATAAGATTGCTAGATAAATGGTAACAGTTCAAGTTTATGTTGGTTTATACTGGTCTTGTTCTGGTGTAGCTGGTTACCCTGCATGGTGGTCATGCTGGTTGACCAGCATCCCAGCATCCAAAACACATCACTAGTATGACTGGTGGTCATCTATCCTGGTTTTTCTAGCAGAGTCGAGTCAGTGAAGTTACCTGGAGGAAGTGAATGTGATCATGTGTTTGTAAAAGCTCCTCAATCTCATCAGTTCTCCTCTTGAGATCAGCGATCTCTTGCTCCAGTTTCTCCTGGAGAACTTCAGCTTGTCTCACTGCAGCCTTCTCCTGAGCTTTGATCATCTCCACCGTCTCAGACTGTTTTCTCAAAAGGAAGGATGTGAGCTCAGTGAAGATCGTCTCAGTGTACTTCATCGCTACCAGCGTCGAGGACTGTTAGAAGAGAGAGGTAAGTAAGAAGGGTCCATCAGAATCTGATGAGCATTGGGTGACTCCCAAGCTGGATTCATTGGTTAAGGAATCCAGGTTAAGGTGTTCTTGGGCTTCTTAATGCACTTATTCAATGTACTGGAAGAAGAGCCAGAACATCATATACACAATTTCTGAGCTAACATTTTCAACAAGCAGCACCGCGATCATTTAAAAGAACCCAAATGAATGGTGTGTCCTTGTTCTGCTTATTCAGAGGAAGTCAAAGTCGCCCGGTTATATCTTACCTTGTGAGACTCTACAGCCTTCCTCAGCATTCGGAGGTCAGTCTCCTTATCCTTGATCCTCTGTAAGAATATAGACTTTGTGTTCCACAGCTGCTTCTGTGAAGAAATGAACAGAATTTTGCATGAATACAACAATAAATTTATGTATATTTTTATGTCTTTACATAGGTGTAGATTTAGGGATGTGGTTGATGCTCTGTAAAGTGATCTTGAGCATACAAAACATATTGTTATTATTATTATTATTATTTTTATTACTATTATTTAATGTTTAGAAGATAATTAACCCCCCCCCCTCAACAATTCACCCCCAAAACATCTGGACTTTGCTCTTTAACAGTGTGGTGTGATCATTTTTAAACACCTGTGAGTTAAACAGAGAGGATCATTGGTTTAAATCAACATTTTCCATCATACGTCCTTCCCACAGCCTCAGTCAGTATCTTTCATGTCCCTTTTCTTCAGCACGATGGTCCTGGAGGGCTGGTGTCCCCCACAAATTTGTTGTTCCCCTGCTCAAACACACCCACTAAACCTGACAGTTAGTAGGTGAGTGTAATCAGGTGTGTTTGAGCTCCTACCAGGTGTTAAAGTGTCTGGTTGAGCATCAGTTTAAAGGCATTCGATATGATGAAGTAGATAAAGTGCTGTTCTAGTATCATCATTGTGCTTGTAGGCCTTTTATGTTCTAATATCATCATTGTGCTTGTAGGCCTTTTATGTTCTAGTATCGTCATTGTGCTTGTAGGCCTTTTATGTTGTAGCATCATCATTGTGCTTGTATGCCTTTATGTTCTAGTATCATTATTGTGTGTATATGCCTTTTGTGTTCTAGCAACATTTTGTACGTGTGTATGTTCTAGCGTCATCATTGTGCTTGTAGGCCTTGTATGTTCTAGCGTCATCATTGTGCTTGTAGGCCTTGTATGTTCTAGTATCATCATTGTGCTTGTAGGCCTTGTATGTTCTAGCGTCATCATTGTGCTTGTAGGCCTTGTATGTTTTAGCATCATCATTGTGCTTGTAGGCCTTGTATGTTCTAGCGTCATCATTGTGCTTGTAGGCCTTGTATGTTCTAGTATCATCATTGTGCTTGTATGCCTTGTATGTTCTAGCATCATCATTGTGCTTGTAGGCCTTGTATGTTCTAGCATCATCATTGTGCTTGTAGGCTTTGTATGTTCTAGTATCATCATTGTGCTTGTAGGCCTTGTATGTTCTAGCATCATCATTGTGCTTGTAGGCTTTGTATGTTCTAGTATCATCATTGTGCTTGTAGGCCTTGTATGTTCTAGCGTCATCATTGTGCTTGTAGGCCTTGTATGTTCTAGCGTCATCATTGTGCTTGTAGGCCTTGTATGTTCTAGCGTCATCATTGTGCTTGTAGGCCTTGTATTTTCTAGTATCATCATTGTGCTCGCACACTTTGTATGTTCCAACAACAGCACTGTGCTTGTAGGCCTTGTATGTTCTAGCATCATTGTGCTTTACACCTCATATGTTCTAGCACCATCACTGTGCTCTTACGCCTCGTATGTTCTAGTCTCATTATTTTGCTTGTACACCTTGTATGATCAACCGTCATCATGTGTATGTTCTAGCACAAAATTGTGCTTGTAGGCCTTGTATGTTCTAGTATCATCATTGTGCTTGTAGGCCTTTTATGTTCTAGCATCATCATTGTGCTTGTAGGCCTTTTATGTTCTAGCATTATCATTGTGCTTTTAGGCCTCGTATTTACTAGCATTATTTTGTCTGCCTTGTATGTTCTAGCTTCATTTTGTATGTCTTATATGTTCTAGCACCATTCTTGTGCTTGTATGCCTCGCATGTTCTAGCCTCACCATTGTGCTTGTATGCTTTGTATGTTCTAGCACCATCATTGTGCTTGTAGGCCTCGTATGCCTAGAAGGCCTTGTGCTTGCAGCGCCATCATTGTGCTTGTATGCCTTCTATGTTCTAACGTTATCAATTTGCGTGTATGCCTTTTTTATGTTCTAGCATCATTTTGTAAGCCTTGTATGTTCTAGCCTCATCACTGCACTTGTAGGCCTTGTATGTTCTAGCACTATCACTGTGCTTGTGCCCCTGTGAAGCTGAAATTAAACCACCTACGCCAAGTCCTAATGTCTTAAAGTTTCACTACATTTCAACTTCAGTGTGAGACTGAAGGTTATTTTAGAACTTGGCACAAGTGAAACCAAAACTACTGTTGACCTCACCTCCATAAACCTAGCTGAACCATCTCTGTGCTGCCGAAAGTACAAACGCCAGTCCCAGCTGAGCTCTGTCAAACCCACATTAAAGATTACCTGTTTTTCCTCTCTGTAAGCTTCAGCCGTTGCCGTCTTATGCCCTCTGTGTTCATCCACGGTACACAAAACACAGATGCAGAGCTGGTCATAGTGACAGAAAACCTCCAGAGGTTTCTGATGCTGAGAACAGACCTGGTCTTGGAGTCGTTTGCTGGCTTGGATCAGTCTGTGGTTCTTAAAGGCAGGAGATTCATAGTGAGGATGGAGGTGAGTCTTACAGTAAGAAGCCAGACAGACCAGGCAGGACTTCACGGCTTTCTGTTTCCTCCCAGTGCAGAAATCACAATCCACGTCTCCAGGTCCAGAGGCCGGTGTGTTCGCTTTCGTCTTCATTTTCTCCACCATTTCAGCAAGAAGAGTGTTCTGGTTGAGGGCAGGTCTTGGAGTGCAGGCCTGTCTGCATTGTGGGCAACCTTGTCCCCTTGTCTGATCCGAACAGTTCTTGATACACGTCATACAGCAGATATGTCCACAGGGCATAGTCACTGGGTCCTTCAGCAGGTCCAGACAGATTGGACAGTTGAAAGAGTTCTGATCATTTGAACTAGCCATTTCAGAGCTCTCACTCATACCACTGCAGAGAGAGATCTGATAAAATCACTTTCAGTTCTGAAGGTTATGCTAAAATGTGGCGTCTTGGTACAACTGGTTGGGTGAGGTTTTGAAACGTTGTCCAGGGACGACCACATTTATTCTTGAAATTTCTTCTGTAAATTGTCCAGAATACAGTTGTAAATAAATAAATGAAAAGCCCTTAAAGCCCAGTCCACACACTTAGAGTTTAAATTGAGAGCTGCATACTGAGTTACCAGTTTATTAGCTATCCAAAATGGTCCATTGTGCAAGTCATACACCATGTGACTGTCTGAGATATAAATCAGCCACCATCAGATAGTGCTCAGCTGGGAGCTGGAATGAGTAAAATGGGGTTAACTTGCTGCTAGGTGTGCCGTTCTCACCTCCCAAACATCTGTCACCCTGGACTTTTCATCAACAAATGTTTTTATGGTTTACAGAGACTGTTGAGAAAAGCAGCTACCAGCGTTCAGCAATCCTGTGGACAACAAAAGCTTTCAGGTCAGAGAAGAATGGCAAGACCGCAACCAGGCGAACCTACCTTAAAATGTACCAGAGCATCTCTAAAAAGACTACAATGGCCAAAGACCATGTCAAGTGCTTGCTGTCAACAAAGAACAAAGATGTGTATGAAATTCCACTAGGCTGTGTGGTACAGTATAGGTACAACGTCCATTATTCTGATAAGGCTAAGGGTCATTTATTCACTGATTGGTCAAATGCTATAACCACATTAAAAAAACATTAGCTGTCCAGAACCTCTGACTCTTCACATGTAACCAAATGCAGTAAATTGTGATTCAGTGCTTGAAGCTCCTCCATTGTTGCTATTGTTATTTGTGTTTAGTGTTAACGCGTGTGAGATCATGCAACCCCACGGGCTAAATAGAACTCCACCTACTTTCATGGTTCTGAGATGCAATGTGAAATAGTCACAGGTACTTGACCAAGGTACAGATAGGCCCAGTCCATTTCTTATTTCACCCCTACCCATTGTTTTCAAGTGTCACCTTGCCCCTTGGAACTGAGTTACAAGGGGTTGTGGTTCCCTACGAAATGGAACAACCCTCAAATAAAAAGAGCATCACTTCATTAACAGCTACTAGCAATGCTCTATAGGCGACCCTGCCAGTCTGCAGTGATAGCAGAGGGTAAAGTTCAGCTCCTCACTGCTGGGATTTAGTTACATTTACGACATCATAAGCCTTCAACAATAAGGGGAGCAGAACTGGGGCAAGAAGTTCCCTCACAATGTCGGAGGTAGAGGTGGGCAATTCAAGTACAGACAGTTAAATTCTCCCCAGGATTTTGTTTCAACTGTCTGGCTACTTTAATTAGCAAAGCAGTAGCAGAGGTGTCCAGACAGCTGGAATAAAATCCTGGCTATTTTTTTCTTTCTGGACTTGAACTACCCACCTCTGGGCAGAGGGGCCTTGGGCAGATTCAGCTCAGTCAAGCAAGTCTGACTGGTTTTGTTTATCATATTTAGATGAAGAAGCTGATAAATGTGGCCTTGTTGCGTCACTGCATGTGTTGTAAAAGTGCTCTACTTTTCGCTCCACACATCGAGCAGCACAATAACTGAGTTTGGCATTTTGAACAGAAATAAGAACCAACTTACATTTGTTGACGTTGCAAGTTTCCATTTTTTGTTCACTGTGAATAAGAAACTCTTCTAAGGAGTGGATCGGAAGGATTAGCCTGCTGGATGTTATAGCCATATCTACTGTCATAACTAGAGAAATGTGTTAGTCATGTGACAAACAAAGTCAGTGTATCAGTCTAGTAGTAGTGTTCCTTTGTTATGTTGGTTTTTGTTGGGGTACTTAGTACTCAGAGGCTTCTGTTATTGACCCTGAAGAAATTGTAGAACAATCCTGTGCATTTCTGGTCAGAGGCTGTTCCTCATTGTTTTAAACAAAACTTTTATCATTAAACCAAGAGAATATGTAAATTACTTAATGTTACACATAATGGGCCATAAAAAGTCATGTCATACTCAGGTTACGTTTGCTAAAGGCCAAACACAGCCATACACCCCCCATGATTTCCCCATGTCGTCGCTTTTCTTTGAATGACTAAAGAACGATTGAAATGGAAAACAATGTTTGAAAGACATTCATTTGTTCACAATCATTTGTTTACCAGCTGTGGAGCTGAGAGATGGAGACAAAAAGAGACAGCAGCCTAGCTAGTCAATTTAGCTGATTTCCTTACGATATTGTAGCGTCCTCTACTGGCTTGTGTTGCTGTGGGTTCATGGGAGGCGTGGCCATGCAGAGCAGCCATACAAGGAGGCTCCTGTGAAGCACTGCATCCATGGTAGGAGAGACATTCTTTTTAAACAAGGTTTTGTGGTTTAGTCAATCCTTTTAGGTTGACAATGTCATATGCACCATCAAAGGACATCTTTGATGTGTTCTTGACTTTTCAATCAATCCGAGGCTGTGTTTCTGATTTGTGGACCAATCAGAGACTGTGTTTCTGACTTTTGGACCAATCAGAGGCTGTGTTTCTGACTTTTGGACCAATCAGAGACTGTGTTTCTGACTTTTGGACCAATCAGAGGCTGTGTTTCTGATTTGTGGACCAATCAGAGTCTGTGTTTCTGACTTGAGAACCAATCAGACATTGTATTTCTGACTTGAGAACCAATCAGAGTCTCTGTTCCTGACTAGTAGACCAATCAGAGGCTGTGTTTTCGTACTCATTGACCAAACAGAGGCTGTGTTCCTGACTTGCTGACCAATCAGAGGCTGTGTCCTTGACTTTTCGACCAGCCAGAGGCTGTGTCCTTGACTTTTGGACCAATCAGAGGCTGTGTTTCTGACTTGATGACCAATCGGAGGCTGTGTTCTTGACTTTTCAACCAGTCAGAGGCTGTGTCCTTGACTTTTGGACCAATCAGAGGCTGTGTTTCTGACTTATTGACCAATTAGAGATTATGTTCCTGACTTGTTGCTGGAACAATGCTACTCTTCTGGGCAGAATAAAAGTAAATCTCTAGCATGCAGTGATTACTAAATACTTTTTCTTTCATCTATGACGTCCTTTGATGACGCATATGACATAGTCCACCTGAGAGGGTTAAAGATGTGCGCTTGTGTTGTATGTGCTGTGGGGTAGTTTGTGTGGGTTCACCATCAGGACAAAGTGTATGACTAGTTTATTAGTTTATTTACAAAACATTCTGATTCACAATCCAAAGATTGAATTTTGCACAACATAAGATATATACACTACAAAACACTTAAAATAATAAATTTATAAAAAATACATATACACAGATACATATACACCACACTCCAATGATTTAAACAGCCTGATGCCACATGGAATAGAGGAGGTTCTTAGTCTCTTGGTTCTCACATGCACAACCGACAGCTGGAAATTTTTCCCCAGGGGATGATCCATTCTCTCACTCTTATTGAGTGGAAGGAGGTCGTGTAAAGGATCATTGGGTTGATGCATGTCTTTTGTCAGTTGTACAATGACCTGCTCCTGCCGTTTATGTAAATCTGGAAGATGTAGAGGAATCTTATGAAACCATGTCATGATTCTGATAGCTTCTCTGACCGGTCAGAAGCTGTGTTCCTGCCTCGTCGACCAGTCAGAGGCCATGTGATTGAGTTAATCCTTTTAGGTTGATAATGTCATATTCAACATCAAAGGACATCTTTGATGAGTTCTTGACTTTTCAATCAATCACAGGCTGTGTTTCTGATTTGTGGACCAATCAGAGGCTGTGTTCCTGACTCGTCGACCAATCAGAGGCTGTGTTCCTGACTCGTCGACCAATCAGAGGCTGTGTTCCTGACTCGTCGACCAGTCAGAGGCTGTGTTCCTGACTTGTCAACCAATTAGAGGCTGTGTCCCTGACTCGACCAATCAGAGGCTGTGTTCCTTACTCATTGACCAATTAGTGGCTGTGTTTCTGACTCGTCGGCCAATCAGAGGCCGTGTTCCTGACTTGAAATGCTAAACCCTCCAGGCAGAATAAAAGTACATCTCTAGCATGCAGCGTTTACTAAATACTTTTTTTATCTAGGATGTCCTTTGATGTCACACAGGACATTGTCGACCTGATAGAGTTAAAGATGTCCATAGCTGCTTGTTGTTTTTCTGTGCAGCCCACCAGCAGCCCACCAACAGCACACTCCCATACCCTAGGCGTGGCCAAATGAGGGTATTACATGCATCAAGATCTTCAACAGGAATCTTCACTGAGTTGATTGTCCAGTTAAAGTTCCAGATATTTTGTCTTAGTTCCAACAGGGACAGCCTGTCCACCAACGATTAAAGGAGGGATAATCTTTAGAGTCTCAACTGACTTCTTGCCATTAGAAGCCATATTATTTGCTGCAGACACTCATCTGCTTAACTTCGCTTTCCATTGAGGAGTCACTGCCAATGTTGGAAATTTTAATGGCATGAGACGTCCCAATGTCATCAGCATAGTCTATATCAAGTGTATCCTTCAACAAAACTGATCTTGTGGACATCTGAAGCAAAAACATGTAGCGCCTCCTTGTGGAACACCTAATGTAACTGTTTTCCATGTGCTGTTTGTGCCATTTGCCACAACTCTCTGTCTTCTCCCTGCTATAAATCCAAGAAAAAAGCTGAGGACACAGGTTTAATGTAGCCAGATGCTGATGGACTTTGCGTGCTCGACTCGGTCAAAGGCTTTTGACATATCAGCTAGCAAAGTATGAGCCATTGTTGGCTAACAATAGTCTGAGAAAGCCATGTGTTGACAGCTTTGACGAGAGCGTTAGTTGTGCTGTTACCAGGTAAGTATGAATGCTGCTTCTTGCATTCCTGTAAAACTGTTGCCATGGTCTTTCTGAGCACAAACAGCTCCTGAACCTTTTCAAGACATGCAGTTAAGGAAATCGGCCTCCAGTCACTTAACTCGGGGGGATTTGGGACCTTTGGGAGAGGGCAGATTTTGGCAACCTTCCACATGGTAGGTA